TTCTTAACAAAATTACTTCAGAGAAGGGAGGGAGAGAAGGGATGTGGAGGAGTTACACAGGCCCATTTTGTATGTAATGTTTTATTTGCCTCAAGTCTTTTGAAGAAATTAATCGTAAAGTTAGGTGGTGGATACGCAGGTATTTTAAAAAATGAACTGAAGTATTTAGTAAAAAAAATAAAAATAACACAATCCTGGTAAGGCTGAGGTTCTTTTTTTGGAGGATCTGACCTTTATTTATTTATTTTTTTTCATTATGATACTTGTACTCTTTTTTTTTTTTTTTAAGATTTTATTTATTTATTTGACAGAGAGTGAGATCACAAGCGGGCAGAGAGGCAGGCAGAGAGAGAGGGGGAAGCAGGCTCCCCGCTGAGCAGAAAGCCCGACGCGGGGCTCGATCCCAGGACCCTGAGATCATGACCCAAGCCGAAGGCAGAGGCTTAACCCACTGAGCCACCCAGGCGCCCCGATACTTGTACTCTTTAATCCTTATCACCTATTTCACTCATCCCTCCACCCCATCCGCTCTGGTAACCATTAAGTGTCTGTTTCTCGGTTTGTCTGTCTCTTCTTGTTTCTTAAATTCCACATATGACTGAGATTGTATGGTGTTTGTCTTTCTCTGACTGACTTCTTTCACTCAGCATTATACTCTAGCTCTATCCATGTTGTTGCAAATGGCAAGATTTCATTCTTTTTTATGACAGTAATCCTGTGTGTGTGTGTGTATGTGTATACACCACATTTTTTATAAAGATTTATTTATTTATTTGAGAGAGAGAGGGAGAGCATGAGCAGGAGGGGCAGAGGGAAAAAGAGAGAGAAGCAGACTCCACCCAGAGCCCCACACACAGCTCGATCCCACTACCCAGAGACCATGACCCAAGCCAAAACCAAGACTTGCTCAACTGTGCCACCCAGGCACGCCTGTATACACCACATCTTTCTTGTCCATTCATCTGTCAGTGGACAGTTGGGCTGCTTCCTTAATTTGTCTATTATTAATAATGTTGCATATATCCCTTTGGATTTGTGTTTTTGTTTTTTGGGGGTAAATGCCAATATTGTGATTATAGGATTGTATAGCACTTTTATTTATTTATTTATTTATTTATTTAAAGATTTTATTTATTTGACAGAGAGAGAGATCACAAGTAGGCAGAGAGGCAGGCAGAGAGAGAGAGGAGCAAGAAGCAGGCTCCCCGCTGAGCAGAGAGCCCGATGCGGGGCTCGATCCCAGGACCCTGAGATCATGACCTGAGCCGAAGGTAGAGGCTTTAACCCACTGAGCCACCCAGGCGCCTCATGTAGGGCACTTTTATTTTTAACTTTTTGGGGAATCATCATACTGTTTTCCACCATGGCTGCACCAGTTTGCATTCCCACAAAACAGTGCAAGAAGGTTCCTTTTTCTCCACATCCTAGTCAACTCTTACTGTTTCTTGTGTTTTTGATTTTAGCCATACTGACAGGTGTGAAGTGATACTTCATTGTAGTTTTGATTTGCATTTCCCTGATGATGAGTGATGTTGAGCATCTTTTCATGTGTCTGTTGGCCATCTGGATGTCTTCTTTGGAGAAATGTCTGTTCATGTCTCCTGTCCTTTTTATTTTAAGTTTTAATTTTAATTCCAGTGTTTCAGATATACAATATAGTGATTCAGCAATTCTATACATGACCTTGTGGTCATCACAAGTCCACTCCTTAATCCCCATCACCTCTTAAACCCATCCACTGTGCCCTCCTCCCCTCTGTAACCATCAGTTTGTTCTCTGTAATTAAGAGTCTGTTTCTTGGGGCTCTTGGTTGGCTCAGTGGGTTAAGCCTCTGACTTCCACTCGGGTCATGGTCTCAGGGTCCTGGGATTCAGCCGCACAGTGGGCTCTCTGCTCAGCAGGGAGCCTGCTTCCCTCTCTGTCTCTGCCTGCCATATGCCTGCTTGTGATCTCTCGCTCTCTGTCTAATAAATAAATAAAATCTTTAAAAAAAAAAAAAAGAGTCTGTTTCTTGATTTGTCTCTCTTTCCTTTTTTTCCCTTCTTTGTCTTATTTCTAAAATTCCACATTCAGGGGCGCCTGGATGGCTCAGTGGATTGGGGCCGCTGCCTTCGGCTCAGGTCATGATCCCAGGGTCCTGGGATCGAGCCCCGCGTCGGGCTCTCTGCTCGGCAGGGAGCCTGCTTCCCTTCCTCTCTCTCTCTGCCTGCCTCTCTGCCTACTTGTGATCTCTGTCTGTCAAATAAATACATAAAATCTTAAAATTCCACATTCAGATGGTATTTGTCTTTCTCTGAGTGACTTATTTCGCTTAGCATTAAAAAATATGGAAGGCTCCACAAATTTACATGTCATCCTTGCTTAGGGGCCATGCTCATCTTCTCTGTATCATTCCAATTTTAGTATATGTGCAGCTGAAGCAAACACTTATGCCCATTTTTAAATGGGATTATTCATTTTTTGGATGTTGAGTTTTATTAATTTTTTTATATATTTTGTGTACTAACCCTTTATCAAGTATGTCTTTTGCAAGTATCTTTTCTCATTCAGTAGGTTACCTTTAAGTTTTATTGATTATTTCCTTTGCTCTGCAGAAACTTTTTATTTTTATGTACTCCCATTAGTTAATTTTGCTTTTATTTTCTTTGCCTTATGAGATATATCTAGAAAAATGTTGCAACAGTCGATGTCAGGGATACTACTGCCTGTGCTCTCTTCAAGGATTTTTATGGATTCAGGTCTCACACTTAGGTGTTTAATCCATTTTGAATTTATTTTTGTGTATGGTCAAAGAAAGTGGTCCAGTTTCATTCTTTTGCATGTGGCTGTCCAGTTTTCCTGATGCCATTTGTTGAAGAGACTCTCTTTTTTTTTTTCCATTGTATTCATTCATCCTTTGTTAAAGATTAATTGACCATATAATTATAAATTTATGTCTGGTTTTTGTCTTTTATTCCATTGATCTTTGTGTCAGTTTTTATGTCAGTACCATACTGTTTTAATTACGACTGCTTTGTAATATGAGTTGAACTCTGGAATTGTGATACTTCCATTTTGTTTTTCTTTTTCAAGATTGTTTTGGATATTCGAGATCTTTTGTGCTTCCATACAAATCTTAGTATTATTGTTCTTTTTAGTTGTATGAAAAATGCTATTGGCATTTTGGTAGGTATTGCATTAAATCTGTAGATTGCTTTGCGTAATATAGATATTTTAATAATATTTGTTCTTCCAACCCATGAGCATGAGATGTCTCTCCATTTCTTTGCATCAACTTAAATTTCCATCATTGGTGTTTCAGGTCTTTCATTAGGTTCCTTTTTGACTATAGCCTTCAACCTTTCTTCCTCCCTAGAGGTAGTAACTGTTATCAGTATGAATTGTACCTAGGCCTTTTTTTAGGTATTTGTATACACAAATACGTACCCTTAGAAAACGTATGGTGGCATTTCTGTTTTATTTTTGTAATGTCATCATATTATACAGGAATACCTCATTTTATTGCACTTTGCAGATACTGCTTTTTTTTTTTTTTTTAAACAAATTGAAGGTTTGTGGATCCAACAGCATTTGCTCACATCAAATCTCTGTCACGTTTTGGTAATTATTACAATATTTCAAACTTTGTCAGTATTATTGTATTTGGTATGGTGATTTGTGATCAGTATCTTTGATGTTAACAATTGCAATTATTTTGAGGTGCTACAAACCACCCTTATGAGATGGATAACTTAATCGACAAATGTGCTTGTTCTGACTGCACCACCACCTGGCCCATCTCCCGTTTCTCTCCCTTTCCTTGGGTCCCCATTTCCTGAGACAAAACAATATTGAAATTAGGCCAGTTAATAATCCTACAACAGCCTGTAAGTGTTCAAGTGAAAAGAGGGTCCATGTCTCTCACTTTAAATCAAAAGCTAGAGGTGATTAAGCTTAGTGAGGAAGATAAATCAAAAGCCAAGATAGGCCAAAAGCTAGGCTTCTAGTCCCAAAGAGCCAGGTTGTGAATGCAAAGGAAAAGTTTTTCTCAAATTAAAAGTGCTACTCCAGTGAACACACGAATGATAAGTGAAACGGCCTTTTTGCTGCTATGGAGAAAGCTTTGTGGTCTGCATAGATCAAACCAGCCCATTCCCTTAAGCCAAAGCCTAATCCAGAGCAAGACCCTGACTCTTCTATGAAGGCTGGGAGAGGTGAGGAAGCTGCAGAAGAAAAGTTTGAAGCTAGCAGAGGTTGGACCATGAAGTTTAGGGAAAGAAGCCATCCATCTCTATAACCTAAAAAGCACAAGGTAAAACAGCAAACATGTAGAAGCTGCAGAAGACTATCCAGAAGATCTAGCAAATTAATGAAGGTGGCTGTACTAAACAACATATGGGCAGTGAAATCTCATGTTCTGTTTCCCATGTGCACTTTCCTGATACTGGTGAGATCAACCATCTTCTCATATGTTTATTGGTCTTTTGTATTTCCTTTCGTGTGAAATGTGTGCTCATGTTCATTTTTATTTTAGGCTATCATTTTATTATTGATTTGTAGGATTTATTTACTCTAGTTTCATACTTTGCTTTATATTCAGGAGCAGCGTCTCTTCCGAATTGTTTTGGCTATTGCACATCTCTGTTTGACATATATTCTAAAATTACAGAATCAGCTTGTCAGGTTGAAGGAGTAACCCTGTTGAATTTGGTCTTGCTTTAATTACTACAGGTTAATTTGGGGAGAGGTATCATCTTTTTAACAATACCATTTGTTTAATCTTTCTCAGCCTAATATACCTTTCTGAATTAGATCATTTGTTTAATGCTGTTGCTCTGTGATAAAAATTAAAATAGCATACCTTACTGTCATATCTCATTTCTCTTGAAATAATTGTCATCTTTTCTAGCACATTTCTTTTCTAAATACAGGTTATCTGAACTGTTACAAAGGGCTGCTGGTGGGATGTGCAGTAGCAGGTGAGAAAATTCTATCATCTTTTTTTTGTCTTGTTTTTCTAGCAATCCCCAAAGTGAGACTGGAGACAATCTACATTTGTGGAGTAGATGAGATGAGTACCCAGGATATCTTTTCCTATTTTAAAGAATATCCTCCTGCTCACATTGAATGGTTGGATGATACCTCCTGTAAGTACACTCAAGTTTTTTGTTGTTTTTGTCATCTCAGATGGTGAATATTTGTGATTGAGACTACTCGTCTGTTCCCTAACCTCTGCCTTTAGCCTAGGGGAGAAAGAATGCCCATTGATGAGAATCACAGTGCCTTAGCCAGTCTGCCAGATCATATTCCATGAGTATTTCAAGTCAGCTCAGATGTGATGACCAGGAATCTAGGAGGTTGGTTGCTGGCCTCTGAGTCTTGTGTACATGATTGAGGCCTCTTTAATTCCCACAATTTCCCAACAAAGCTGTGGATCCAACTATATAGACTTGGGGCTCTGTATTCAGGGCTTTAGATTTTGTCATTGCACCTTCCCATATTGGTCTTCACAGGCCTGGGTCTGCCTTAGTATCTAATCTAGACCTAAACTGGAACTTTCTGATACTGTATGAAACCTCTCATCTCTGCTTGCTTTGAAACTTCACCTGCTTGACCTAGCTATTATTTTTACTTGCATCCCCACTCCCAAGTCTGATAGAACCTGTGGTAACCACTCTGCTGGCTTCTTGTCTTAATTCACTTCTAGTCTGGCTTTGCTTACTGCCAGCTTGCTGACCTGCTAGGCTGTACCTTGAATAGCTGCCTGGTTTTCCCTGCCACTTTTTTTTTTTTTTTGAAGATGTTGATTCAGCATTGAAAGAAGAAACATGACAGAATTGAAGAGTTTTCTCCGTTTTTCCTTTTGCTTAACTTACACTACCTAAATCAAGGGTTGGCAAACTTTTTTTTATAAAGGGCTAGACAATAAATATTTTAGGCTTAGCAGGCCATACAGTCTTTGTTTTGTTATGTCTATTCAGCTCTGCTATTGTAGCATGAAAGCAGCCATAGACAGTATGTTACTGAATGAGCCTGCCTGCTTTCCACAGATTTTTTTTTAATAAAAAATATGTTGGATGTGTAGTTTATTATTTATTTATTTGTAGTTGGTATTTATTTATGTGTAGTTTATTATTATTTATTTAATTAATTATACCTACATAAAGCTGGTGTAAATACAAATAAATAAATGAATAGGTGGTGGGCTGGCTCTCCTTTGCTAACTCCTGATCTATGTTACTAAAACTGTAGCTAAAGGATATTAGAATCAGAGAGACCCTTTAGACTTACCCATTTTTACTAACTCATGTTGAACATCAGAACTGAGAAACAGAGAAGGAAAATTGTTTGCCCAAGGCCACATCACGTGTTTGTAACAAAAGTGAGAATCTGTAGATCTTCATATCTGAAACTGAGAATGTAAAGGTAATTTTAGTTTGAGAAATACTGCTTTAAATAAAATTAAGTAGATTCATTTTCTATAAGACTTCTCAACATCTTTTTCTTGCTAAATTCTCTTGCTTAAAGAAGCAGATTAAATTAGTTGCTACAAAGCCAAGTGGCTGTCATGGCTCCACTGTATATATTCCATGGATACCATCATCACCCACACTTTACAGTAGGAAACAATCATTTGGCATGTCTGAATGACAAGGTACAGCAGACGGCTTCCCTGTAGAGGGCAGTAGTATAAAGGCTAATCCAAATTCATTTGACAGTGGTCTTCTTGTTATCATCATCATCATCACAAGAATACTAACACTACATAATACTTACTGAGTCAGGCATTTTTAATATACAGAACCCTATTTTCATGGAATACAGTTATTTTGTGGAACCTAGTTTGGGAATGCAGCTCTAGGCTAATTTCATCAAAGAGGTTTTACTGCCACTTTCTTCTGTACTGCTTTCATTAGTTGGTTCATACATTTACTGATACTGATCTGTAGCTAGATGAGGCCATAGCAATGATTATGTTGCAGTCTCTGTTTAAAAAAAAAAAAAATTACCATATGTGTATGATGTAATGTTTTATTTTACATTTTGTTTTAGGCAATGTGGTTTGGCTGGATGAAATGACAGCCACACGAGCCCTTATCAATATGAGCTCTCTGCCAGCCCTGGATAAGATAAGAACCAGGGATGCCAATGAGGACAGGTCATCTGAGAAAAGTAAAAAAGGTAACAACACAAAGGAGGGGCTTTAGGGCTGAAAGTCTTGTTCTTTACACCATTGGTTTAGGTTTCTCTGCAAAGCATTATATAGTATCTCATTGTCAGTTATTTCTAAGATAAGCTATGATGCTTTGGATCATCAGTATATAGGAGAAGATAATGGATTTCTAAGTTACGTGAGATGGAGTTATGTTAAGTTTCATCTTGTCCCTTATATTGTATTTTAGACAAGCAGGAGGACAGTTCAGATGATGATGAGGCTGAAGAAGGAGAAGTTGAAGATGAGAACTCAAGTGATATAGAGGTTAGTAATAGGGCAAAGATATAAACAAGGTTATAGTGTAAAAAAAAACTGTTCACTTTCTTTTATTTAAGGCTTAAGGACTTACTAATTTGTGTTCTTCCTTTGATTGAACGTTTTGAGATTATATCAGGCTTTAAGTTCTTATGGCTGTAATGAGTGACTTTTCCTGAAATCTTAGAATAGTACTCATTCTTCTGTATAAAAGAAAATGGTTTTATTGAGAAATACTATGAGGTGTTACCTAATCAATAAAATTAAGAAAAAACAAATGACGGAATATTTCCTAATGGGGCATGTGCTGTTATTAAATACATTAAATATGTTATTTAATACATTAAAGTGTATTCATTTAAAAAATACTTATTGAGTATCTACTATATACCAAATTCTAGGTCCTGTGGATATAGCATCAAACCAATGTCCTTCCCTCTTGGAACATACATTCTAGTGGAGAAGACAGACAATACACAGATACACAGATATATAATGTCAGAAAGTGAGGAGTGCTATGGAGAAAAGTAAAGAAGGGTAAGCAGATAGGGAATGATGGAGACTATTCCTTTAGACAAGGTGTTCAGGGAAGACCTCTGACTTAGGAATGTTTCAGAAGAACATGTGCTGTCCTGCTTCAAGAATTGTTAAAGAATGCTTTCCCAATGGTGACTTTGCTACTGAATAAATATGAAAGAAGCTTTAATGTTTATATTGAAAATGCTCTTTTTTCTTAAGTTGGACACATTGTCTCAAGTAGAAGAAGAGTCTCTGCTAAGAAATGATCTTCGTCCAGCCAACAAACTTGCTAAAGGAAATAGGTTATTCATGAGATTTGCTACAAAAGGTAAATGTGGTATTTGGCATTAATTTTTAGTTTTATTCTAAGTCATGTATTTTTGAGTGACATCCTTTTCTTTTGAAGAGGAAGTTAGGTCAAGTAATCTCAAAGTCCCTTCAAACTATAATGTTCTATGCTTGTGCAATGATGGCTTGCTGCCTGAATTGAATTTTACACTTTGAAGGTGAATGTTAGCTGTTTGTATACTTTTGTGATTTCTGGCTAAATAAGTTATTTTCTCTTAAAGCTAGTTTGTTCTCTGTGCTTTTCAGCCACTTTATCTTCTGAACTATGAAAACATTTTTAAATTACTTTCTTACTCACCACAGCAATATCCTCGTGGACATTGCTAGTAGTACCATTCAGCCTTATCCTCTAAGGACCTAAAAGCCTCCTAGGCTCTCTGTGCACAATGATTCTGGTGTGCGTTAAAATATATATGAAATTTGAATATGGAATACACTTCTGGTTCATTTTTCTTGACTGAGACATGTTTAAAGAGTCTAGGCTCGTTATTTTATAGACTGCCCCTCAGTTTGTTTTTTTACTATATCCTCCTGATTGAATCAAACTGTGCATATTAGGCAAGAGTACCACAGAAGTGCTGTTGTGTCATTTGCAGTGCATCATGTCAGGACACACGTGATATTTACTTGTCCTGTGTTTGGAGATGTTAGCTTTTCTCAGTTAAGGTAATGATTGCCAGGTTTCTCCTGTTTTCTGTTTGTAATACAGAAATTGGCAGGAGGTACTTTGAGATTATGTAAATAGACTTTGGTTCATCATACTTCCACTCAGCATCCATTGATGACTTTTTAACTCTACATTTCTTTATTAGTTGGCATTGTGCTTAAGGAAAACCTTTTTCTTTTTACCCATTTATTTGCTTATTTACTTAATTGTACCAGTTTAGGTTCATGAGTCTTATTTTATTCAGTGGGTTATTCATTCATGTCTTTGTTTTGATTTACAAATCTTCTTGGATTTGGCCAGTGGAGCCCCTTGAATTCAAGCTGTATTATTTTGACATGCCTTCATGATTCTTTGAACACTTTCATACTTTATGGCACAGTAAAACATCTTGTTTTTCCATACTCAACATGTACTATCCCTGTCCCAGATCTGGAATCAGCCATTTCTCCAAGCAGCTGGTGGCATGTCTTTTAAAGGGTGCACATACTGGCTCGTGCCACTGTTCACTTATAGCCCTGGATACGTGTGCCTTGGTATTCATCTTCTGTAATCAGTGAGTGCCTCAACGAAAATGTGTATGATCAGTGACCACCTTTTCTTTCTATTAACTGGCATTTTAACTTGATGAAAGTGATATATTCTATATAAATGGTGCAGTGCTGTTTGCTTTAAGCCATTTTTACGAAACGTCATGATAGATTGGAAAAAATGTTTTACGAGATATATGGAGTTATGTATAATCTGTTTCTTTAATACTGATTCTTTGTTATTGGAGTGTTGTCATTCAGAAACAAATGTCGTCTTTCAGGGGAGCAGGAAAAATGCTACCTCTTCTAGAAAGCCCTTTTCATTCTTCAACAGCTGTAGTGACTAAAGCTCTCGTAAGCTTCCTGAAACCTTGTATGTTGTGTTATTGTTGTTGTTAATAATATTTTCTCTATGAGGTCAGTCAGCTCCTTAACAGCAGCTTAACTTAATTCATCTCTATTTTGCTCCACCTGCTCTATACTGCACTGCTTTTTAGGCACTGAGAGTGAATATTTGTAGCATATCTTTCCCTTTTGTTGGCAGATTGTGCTGATCTGACCTCCGCTATGGAAAACATATTTTTAAACCATTCAACATTGTCTTCATACCAGTGGGAAATCCTAGGTAACTGTCGTAATTAATTTTTAGATGACAAAAAGGAACTTGGAGCAGCCAGAAGAAGTCAGTATTATATGAAATATGGGAATCCAAATTACGGAGGCATGAAAGGAATTCTTAGTAATTCTTGGTGAGTCTAAAACTTTACAGTAGTTCAAGTAGTACTTAAGCTTTTCTTAATCCCTCAGTTGGTATTCTGCAGTGGAATGTCAACACCATGTGTGCACTCAAAGGATGACAAGAGGAAAGAGTTCAAGATTCTTAACTCTGGGGTAAATGGTATGAAAGGCTGAGTTTTAGTTTCACATAGAATGTCTCTGTTTCAGTACTTAACATTCCATCAGTGTGTAGTTGAATTTAATTAGTGGATTTCAAAGTCCTTCCTGTTGGTTTTTGACGATGTGCTTATTTTGGAATGTTGCAGGAAGCGAAGATATCATTCCCGTCGCATTCAGCGGGATGTGATCAAGAAGAGAGCCCTGATTGGGGATGACGTTGGCTTGACATCCTATAAACACCGACATTCCGGTAGTTGCCTGCTCAGCTCTTGGGTAGACACATGTTTGGCTCCCGAAATCATATTCTTATTCTTAATACAGTCTTTTAAGGTTCCAAACTTTATCATCCTCTCTTCCTTGCCCTCACCCTCTGCCAACATATAGGAAAGTAAGTCAAGTCACGATTAATTTTAAATTGCCCATACAAAAGAGGTCAAATGATTTAATAAAAGCTGTTCTAACAAAAAAGGCCAAATGTGACATAGGAAAAATTGAAATAAAATTTTCTATAGGAATCTAATTTTTCTACTATTAATATCAAAAGCTGCATGAAAATTTTTTGTTATTTTATCAGATGACTTGATTTTATTATTTCTTTGTCTGATGATAAAAATAGGCTGCTGTGTCTAATGTTTTATGCTTATTGGCTTGTGCACACGAATGCCTCTGTTAAGTATTATGACTTGGGTTTCATTTTGTTTGTTCTGTCCTTCCTTTCCTTCTTTCTTTCTTTTGGTGCTTATCTAAGAAGCATTTTCATTATGTTTTTATAAAGATTTGTTTCTAATTTTAATCTAATCTGTAGAATTTTCTACATGCTTTGTAGAACTGCTAAGTCAGCATACAAACATGGGATAACATGTATACGTGTTTATCATTGTAACAGGGACAGGTGAAGTCTATCATTTTTATTTAATGCATATATCCAAAGTTGTATATTTGAAATCTGCATCTTTAAAAATGCACATACTTTTCTGTTACACAGTTACAGGTTTCTAATTTCAGTTACTCTAAGATATTCTTATCATATAATCTTTATATTGTATTAAGTTAAAAAGCAAATTGCCCCTAATTCTGGCACTCTGACATAAACAACTGATTTCACTTTACATTTTTTTTACTTGTCTCTTTTCATAATAAATAGAATTGTTAACATATATTTTATAGTCTTCTCCCACTTAAAAGCATTTTTCCATGAACTTTAAAGTTACAATTGATTTTCATTATTCATAGTGGTTATGTTCTATAAAGTCATTGTGATCATTGATATAGTGAATACTAAACCGTTCAGAGACTCTGGTCGTACCATTTTCATCAACTGATCAATATATAACCTTCTTGGATTGTGTTTCTGTTTAAAGACATCTTATTTAATACATATTGTTGATTCATTAACATTGGACTCACAGCCAACAGCACTGTATCTCATGCTTGAACAAAGCTTATTTAACACATGTTTATTCTATAAGGCACATCACAGCCTTCTTGGGCTTAGGAACTCTAGACAGCTTTGGCAGTAGACTTAGAGGACATTTTTAAAAAATTTTAAATGAAATCAACAAAAGCCACAAAAATATGAAAAGCATGGCACTTAAGAAACTGCAAAAAGAGCACTTGTTTATAGTATGAGAGCTGAAACAAGAAAGCAGAGTGTTGCCTCATTTGACCTCAGCTGGGAATATGCACATCTGATGATTCAATTTTATGCCACTATGCACATGTTCACAAATGACAAGAAAACAACACTACAAGTGTTGGTGTGGAGTTACAAATAAATTTGGTTGATTTATAAATACAGAATTCATGAATAATGACAATCGACTGTACTTTAGATTACTTTATTATATTCCATCAAGTTACTAGATCATACTTTACCTAGCCATTCTTCTGTTGTAGGTATCAGGGTGGCAACTAGATTGGCACTTACATAGATAATGCTCCAGTAAGATCTTGGGCCTGGGAACCCCACCTTTTGAAAAGGTCACCAATGTAGAGTAGAAAATCAGACTTGTTAGTTTTAGTGCTTTTCCTAATGTTTTTTGGTTAAATTTCTTAGGACTAGTAAATGTTCCAGAGGAACCCATTGAAGAGGAAGAAGAGGAGGAAGAAGAGGAGGACCAGGACATGGATGCAGATGACAGGGTGGTGGTGGAGTACCATGAGGAGCTCCCAGCTCTCAAGCAGACCCGGGAACGGAGCACATCTAGGCAGTCCAGTGCCAGCAGTTCAGACTCCGATGAAATGGACTATGATCTAGAACTGAAAATGATTTCCACTCCTTCACCAAAGAAAAGCATGAAAATGACCATGTATGCTGACGAAGTGGAATCTCAGTTGAAAAATATTAGGTAAAAATATTTTTTCTCTTTAGCAGTGCTACCTTTTAATTTTATTTTAAATACTAATTCATAGCTTTCTCTTAACTCCTCTTCATTCTATAATCGCTTTTATCTGTTTTCTTATCAGTTCATTGAAGAATTTGAATAAAAGCATCCAGTTTTTCTTGTAAATATACCAGAAGTAGTCCTTGTTATAAAAAATGAGATAGTAATAGAAAGTGAAAATCACCCATAATGTCATCTTTCCGAAAATAACAACTTAGCAATTGAATTAATAACTTTCCTGCCAATTTTATGCCTATATATAAAGCATGGAGAATTTATATAGTTCTACAAAAATGAAGTTGTATTTATATTGTTTTGCAGTGTGCTCTTTCTGTTTAATATACCGAAGATTTCTGCTATTTTTTCACCCAGATATAGTACGTTGTTTGAAACTATCGTGATTTATTTAACCAGTTCCTTATTGAAAGACATTTAGGTTTCTATTTTCTTACTGTTGCATTAACTAAATAAATTTCTTGAATCCCAGTTATTGCACAAAACTACATAAATGTTTAAAAATGTGATGTTGCTAGGAGTGCCTATGTGGCACAGTTGGTTGAGTATCCAGCTCTTTGTTTCAGCTCAGGTCATGATCTCAGGATTGTGAGATTGAACCCCACATTGGACTCCAGCATGGAGTCTGCTTAAGACTCTCCTTTCCCCTCTATCCTTCCCCACCCACCCCTATTCTCGCATGTGCGTGGTCTCTCTCTTTCACTCTCCAAAATAAATAAATCTTGAAAAAAAAAATTGGTTTTGCTAAATTTCCCTCCAAATAGGATTTACTCACTTTATAACCTATTACCTATTACTCACCAGTCTTAACCAGTCTTTCTAATTTTTGCTAATTTTGTGGACCAAAAAATACGTATTTTAATGTGTATTTCTTCGATGACTAGTGGGGATGAGCAGATTCCTGAGGGCAGATAGCATATGCACAACTCAAAGTGTTGGGGTCTAGGGGTTCTCTAAGTGTTCTTGGTAGTGTATTTGGGGAAGGGAAAAACAATTCAGTCTAATTCTTTTGTATGGCTTTGTTCATATCCTTATTTTTAGTTTTCAGAGAACTTTCCAGTGTTGAATGCTGCCAGAATAATGCTGGTGCCTAGCATGGTAGCAGATGTCTTTGACAGAGAAGTCTGCCCTTTACTGTAGACTCTTGTATCTTGACTACAGCAAAATCACAGCCTGGGGAACAGAGATCTGTGAGCCCTTTGCAGGCCTTACTTGACGTTTGTCCTAGAAGGGAGAGGACTGGGATTCACAATTACACATTCTTTGATAGTTTACAGAACCGTTTGTGGAAACCACCCTGGAAAACTCAGAAACCTACTTGCCCTGATTGATCTCTTTACAGCAGGCTGATCATATGTTATTGTAAACAAATAATTATTGGTATATGGTATTTGTGAGTGAATATTGGCTATATTAAATTGGGCTTCTTAAATTGTTTTCTCCAAAGTATATGAGATTATTGCATAGTCATTACCCCATAGTTGAAGCTGGTTAATTATACCTTTTTTTTCCTTTTTTAAAGGAACTCCATGAGGGCAGATACTATATCCACAAGCAATATCAAAAACCGAATTGGTAACAAATTACCAACTGAGAAGTTTGTAGATGTCCGACATCTGTTAGATGAAAAACGTCAGCACACACGTCCACGGCCACCAGGCAGCAGTACTAAGTCAGGTATTGTTCAGTTGTGTTTCTGAGCTCCAGAAAGCAAATCAGGACAGAGATAGGTCCTTGGATAAAACATTGCCAGTAATGAACTGCTGTAGTTGTCCTAGTTCATCACTTCTAAATTTTGCATTAGGTATTGGAACTTTAGGACATGAAAAATAATCATACTTTCACAGTATTAGCTTTCAATATTTTTGTCCCAGTTATTTTATTCTGTATGTCATTGATATACTTTATACATAAAGATGATAGAAATTGAGTTGTTGGTCAAGAATTTGAACTAGATAGTATACAAGTGCAAAGTAGGTACTTGGCGATGCCTGCTATGTGCTGGACCCTGGGTTAGATGCTGGGAGTGTTAGAATCTTTGGAGGGGATGCAAAGTCAGCATAGAACTTAGATGGAGAAACACAAGTGCACGCATTCAGGTAATTCCATTGCAAAACAGAATGGAGTAAGTGCTCTGATACATCTATAAGCTGTGGGCTGTGGGAGAATAGAGAGGAGGTAGATCTACGGGGGGAATTGTGCAGGGCTTCTTAAAGAAAGTGGCTTTAGAGCAAGGCTGACGGAAGGAGTGGGATCTCTGTTAGCAAACCTGTTTTTTAGAGGTGGGAAGTAACCTGATCTTATATCTATTTTAGAAAGATAAATTTGTGGCAGGATGGGGTAGGGTGGAAAGTCAAATAAGTAACAAGGGCCTGAACTAGATCAGGGAGAGTAGAGGTGGAATGAATGAGAACATCAAACCTTGTGATGGAAGAAGACTTGGCACTAGGAAGTGAGGGAGCAAAGGGAAAGAAGCCAAAAGGCTCAGGCCTGAGAAACCAGAAAGTTGGGGATGCTGCTCTCTGAGACGACAAGATGGATGAAAGCCCCAGTACAGTGACTTGCTAATAAACATGTTGTTTACATGCTGTCATTGTTAGAGGGAACTCGAGAGGACAGATTTCTGGAGGGATTGGAGGGAGGAAAAACAAATTTGATTTGACGTATCTTCCCTTGATCCTTTGGTTTTTGTCAATCTCATTACATTTACTGTTAAATATAGTAAGTTTATTAAGAATTCTTTATATGTTGAAAGGTTTCCCCTCAGGGAACTTACAGTAATGTTTGTTAGCTGAAATGTTTGTAAATTCTTTGGTATGCTTGGTCCTACTTAAACACACACACATACACACACACACTTGCACAAAAAACAAAAACAGCTGATTTTGTGGCAGAAGTTCCTTTCTGGAGCAGTTCTTTTCCACTGAAAGCCCCTATGTCTGACCTTTCCTAGGGGAATCCAGACTGATTATTTAGAGAGAAGGATTTTAGAAGTTTGATTTTGTAAGGCTCTTTGTCATCATTTGGGGAGATTTGGCACCAGGTCCTCTAGGGATCTCAGGTTGACAGTATTGTTAGCAAAGCGCATGTTTGGTCACAGTAATATATTTTTTTTTCTTTTTCTAGATATACGCCAGCGGTTAGGAAAAAGACCGTATTCTCCAGAAAAGGCTTTTAGTAGTAATCCAGTCTTTCGGAGAGAGCCTTTTTCTGATGTACATAGTAGGCTGGGTGTTCCCAGACAAGATGTTAAAGGCCTCTACTCTGATACACGGGAGAAGAAATCAGGTTGGTAACACTTAAAACTGAGTGGGATAGGAATTGGGTAAGAGCAGACTATAGCATAGAAATACTTTGTTGGTCAAAGGCAGGAAACAGCATATGTCAAAAATAAGTTACTTTTCCTCTTCCATTATAGTCGTTGTCATAATTGTAATAATAAGGGTATGGAAAATTTAGAAAATAGGAAAAAAAAAAACCTACCTTTGTTCTTTCTGTTTAGCGCAGATACTTTTTAGGCTTAAGTCTCTATTCACATCTTTGTCAATATACATATTCTGTTTTGCTCATGCAGGATTTTATTGTGATCCTTTTTCACATTGTTAAATTCTTTATAAATAAAATGTTTAATTGCCTTTATGGTGTAGTATGCTATGAAATTCTAAACACGTATTTCTCTATTGTTAGATATTAATAAAGTATATTTTAAAAAGTATAGTGGGATAGTGGGCCAAATCTCTGAAAGTGTACAGTGTAGCAGGCCTACCAGTTTGCAGACTTTATAGCTGGTAATGATCTGGGAATGGCCCACTCCTGGCAGAATGAAGCTCTACAGAGAATGGTGAGTCTCACCAGGGAGGGGCAGGTGTAGCATAAGCAGCTTCCCAGGTGTTTCTGTTACACACGGGAGGCACACGTCCCCTAGCTGCGAGACCCCAACTGGGTCCAGATCCCCCAGTTCACAGGCAGGGATGATAGCCAGGGAAATGAGATTATCTTCCTAATGCTGCACAGAGGTTACAAGAGCCATAGATCCCTCTCAAGAAGGGCAGTGCCCCTTCTTCCTCAGTATTACCCTGCTTCTCAGCATTGATCGACCACCAAAACTGAAATGTCTTCTCATCCAAACAGGTAGTTTATGGACGCGCTTAGGATCTGCACCCAAGACCAAAGAAAAGAACACAAAGAAGGTGGATCACAGGGCACCAGGCACTGAGGAAGATGACTCTGAGCTGCAAAGGGCATGGGGGGCTCTGATAAAGGAGAAAGAACAGTCTCGCCAAAAGAAGAGCCGGTTAGATAACTTACCATCTCTCCAGATTGAAGTTAGTCGGGAAAGCAGCTCTGGTTCAGAGGCAGAGTCCTGATGCCCTTGGGGCTAATGGCAGCTGCCCTAAAATCTGACATTCTCATGCAGGGTTGGGTGCACAGTAGGAACCTTTCCCCTCCCACCCCCCACAGGAGTTGGCGCCCCTCCTGCTCCTACACAGTCACCCTCAGCTCTTGCTGCTTCAGCAAGACATGTTAAGAATGTGACATGTTTTGAAGGGCATCTATCTATCTTTTGCTGCAGAGTAAGAGTTCTGGGCCCTCAGTTCTTTCCCCACTACCCCACAAGCTTTACCCTTTGAGGAGAAGGCAGCCCTCCAGATTTTGTAGACGTTTTTCTTAATATTTTTAACATTGTGTCTTTTAAAGAAATGTTTTACACAGTTCATCCAAAGAGCAGAGAACTGAACTTCTCACTATTGCCTTGGCCCTGACAGCTGTTACCAGCACCCTTTTCCCAAGAAAAGTCAATTCCCAGGTGCTTATTGGACAGCCTTCGAGGGGGAAGATGAGGGAAGCTGCCAGCTCACCCTTCCGGGACCCTAGTGTGGGGGCCGAATCTCATGGACCTGACCTCAGAGGTGCACCAGTGCCGCCCAGGTAGATAAGAGATGCAGCATCGATCGTGCTTCCGTTCCTCCCTGGGGATTTCTGTTACGGGCCTCTTAGCAATCAGCTTGAAAAGTGAAGATCAAGTTCAGTGCTGTGGGATTTTTAGGAACAAAAAACTGTGACTTCTGGATTTGGGGTGGATTTTGTGCTAGGGGTGGGGTCATGGGTTAATGTTGAACAATTTTTAAGTCTGTATTATGTTTAAAAATATTAATGATTTAAAAGTTTAAATTTTTAATTTTTATATGTGAAAATACTTCCTGTTGACTACAAGGGAAGCTCAAGTGGTGTCTTATGTGTGCTGTTAAATATATATTATATACTTTGGAAGACGGCAAGGAGAGGAGTCTCATTATTTTTAAATGATCCTAATTGTATAGTCTGTCTGTTGTATATAGTGTTCAGACTTGCTTTTTGGCCACTGTAGGAAAAAAATCCATCCATCTGAGATGGGGTCCTGTTGTTTATTATCACTTCAGAAGTGATACATTAGTATTTATTCTTTGTATTTCCAAGTTCTGGCACCTGAAGATAATTTTAAAACTGCCAAATAAGATAATAGTTACAGAAATTTTAGTTTATTTCTCATTTACTTCTAAACTCCTTTCAGATTATTTTAAAGGCAGTAGATTATTTTGTCTTCCTATTTGATCTTTATTTTGAAGTGTTTAATGTTTGTATTCTTCTGCAGGCTTAAAAATAGTGTTCCACTTCAGTTCACTAGAACTTAAGAATTAGAGTAAGCCCTTGTCCCGTTGTGATATCACAACTCCTCACCTGTCTGGAGTGTTTCAGTACCTGGTATAGTTCTGGATTCTAAGGATCTTTGCTTGTGGCATTGAGAGTTGATTACAGTGTGGTGTGACTGAATGCAGAACACTGCTGCTAATAAAGGAAGGAAAGGGCTGCGGGACTTGAGAGCTGCAGCAACTGTACTGTACCATGTTTTGTTGGTTAACCTGCTTTTCACTCCCTTTGGAAAGGTTAGAGGCTGTAACTATGGTATGTTTCCACTTCTGGAGTGGATTCTTGGAGAGAGATGGTTCTCTGCCACTTGAGACCTATTGTTTCTGAGGTTCCTCCCTTTTTTGTTCTGTGGAGCATGCAGCTGAGAGCCAGATTCTTGAGACGGGGCAAGGTTTGGGGACTTGGTAGAGTGAGAAGAACAAGGACCTGAGAGTCAGAGACCTGGATGCCAACCCCTGGTTTCTGTTCCATCTGTCCCATCTGGCAAATGAATGGGCTGGTACCAGAGCTTCTGACTTTGTTGGTGCATCTCAGTGGTGTTTTACTCTTCCTGAAGCAATGGTTGTGGTGGGCTGGCCAGCACTGGTTTCTCTTGCATGTGTGGGGAGGGTCAGAAGGGCATGCATGAGGTTTTGGTCAGGGATTCATCCCTATCCCATTTCCATTACAGTCTCTGGGTCTTCTGTGGGACAGAAATATCCTTGTGGTCAGGGTCCTAACTGATGTGGTCTCAGCAGTATTTTAAAAAAGCCCTTCTTCTGTGTTTGCCAATCATGACCTTTTCCACCAGTAGTTTGGGCCCATCCATCCCATGGTCTAATAGCCCTTGCCAGTCTCCTGCTAGAGATCAGGGAATGCTTTCTGGAAAGGTGGTGGTATGTAGTCAAAACTGGGCCTTTGATCTAACCAAGAAAAATGCCTGCTTGGGCAGCCTTGCAATTCTTACAAATATACAGACCCCAGAAAAGTACCTTAGAAAATTTTACTTCCCCAAGTTATTGTTGGCCACCTCCTCTCTCACTCTCTGGCCCACACTCAGGCACTCAGATCTTGCAACATCTTACACGTGCTCTGAATGCCCAGGCCCTTTCTTTGGAGTTTGGGAGTGAGGGTGGACTGTCAGGATGGTCCCTTAGTGGCAGCTCATTGTGCCTGGGTCCTCCTTATGTATGTGGACACACTTTTCTATATTCTTCTTAGTCTTTATGCAGAAGAGATTGCAAATACATTTTTGCTGCTTCATAGTAATTTCAGATACCTCATTTCTGTTTCCTACTTTCCCTCTTGGGAGAGACGCCAGCTACCCAGGAGAACTTGTGGAGCTTGTGACAAGCCCTCCTCTGGCCCCTTTGTCTGGTCCCATGAACCCTTCCCTTTAGTTCAAATCACTGTCTTCTCCCACTTTATCCCTGTGACAGCCTCCTCCCTGATCTCTTCCCCATACCGCATCCCTCCATCTCTGTTCTGTGTACTACAGCTGGGATGAACTTTTGTTGTTGTTTGCAGCTTGACAGCTATTATTTACATAGCATACCCCTTCACTCCTTTAAAGTATACACTTCGAGGTCACCTGGCTATCTCAGTTGAAGGAGCATGCGACTCTTGATCTTTGGGTTGTGAGTTCAAGCCCCATGCTGGGTGTAGAGATTATTTAAGAATAAAAAATTCTAGGAAAAAAAATAAAGTATACACTTCAGTGGCTTTTAGTATATTCGAGTTGTGCAGCCATCACTGTAGTCAGTTTTAGAATATTTTCATCACCAAAAACAAACCCTATATCCATTAGCAATCATTCCCCAGTTCCTCTCCCCTCCTGGCAACCTCTGCTTTTGGTTTCTATGGATTTGCCTGTTCTGAACGCTCATGTAAATGGAGTCATACACTTTGTGGCGTTTGTGCTTGGTTTCTTTCACTAAACATATTTTTGAGGATCATCTGTGTTGTAGCCTGTATTAGTACTTCTTTTTGTTAATGAATAATATTCCATTGTATGAATACAATACATTTTATTCATTCATCAGTTGATGGACATTTGGGTTGTTTCCACTTTTGGCTGATGTGAATTATGCTGCTATGGAACATTTATGTACAAGTATTTGTGTGGTTATGTTTTCATTACTCTTGGGTTATATAACTAGGGTGGAATTGCTGGGTCATACAGTCTGTCTTAACCCTCTGAAGAACTGCCAGACTATTCTCCCAAATGGCTGCATCATTTTCCATTTTCCCCATTAGTGTATGAGGGCTCTAGTTTATTCACCATCCTTGACAACGCTTGTTATTTCACAGCGTGAATTGGTATCATTGTGATTTTGATTTGCATTTCCCTGATGTGTAATGATGTTGGGCATCTTTTCTTGTGCTTCAGAATGAACTTTCTTAAAGTTTTTCTGTTATTTTTCTGCGTAAAACCTTTCCAAAGCTTCACTATTGTCCTTGGAATAAATGCCAAACTCCAATGATAGTTCACAAGACTTGTCAGAATTTAACTTTTGGTATCTTTGGCCAGTTCTCCCCGCCTCCCCTGCCCTGTGCCCACTAGTTCCTTGGACCCATCTTGATCTCACCAGTCTTTCAAAATCTGCTCAGTGCTTTTCTTCCCTAGCAGTGACACACTCCCCTGGCTCTTTCTCCCTTCTACTTAAGCTTTGCCTTCTCTTTTCCCTCATCCTCAAGGACTTAAAGGCCCCTCCAGGTTGCTGCCTCCAACTTCCAGAATCAGGTTATGGGCCCCTGCTATGTATCCCACAGTACTGCCATGAATGACACTCTGCTCATTTTAGGGTTGGGCTATATAGTCACAGCTAAGATAAAAATGGAGCGTAATCAAAATTCCACTTGGAAATCCTGGGGAAGGTGCCATGTTGAAAACCAGCATCATGGGTTCCTGCCTGTGTGGGACCATAGTTTCTTTGGTTGAGTTACAGGTGAAGTGATTGGCCTACAATGAAGGCCATATTTTGTTTAATAAAAAAAAAACAAAAACAAACAAACAAAAAAAAAACCACTTATTTTTAGGTGTTAAACTCACTCAGGCAAGCAACTCACTTTTGAAGAGGCTCTTGGGAACTGTAACAAGCCACAGGTGTGGCAGGGCACAAGCTTACCTTTGGTGAATGGAGGTGAAATGGCCCAAATGACTTAAAATTGCTTTGCTTTTTCCTTTTTTTTTTTTTTCCAACTTTTTCAGGAAAATATACCATTGTGTTTGCCTAAGAGAAATGTGTGTATGATGCCAAATCTCTGTAACTGTCCCCCAAAGCCAGCACACCTATACACTGAATTGTAATGTCCTATTCCTACTTTGTCTTTTTTGCTAGATTGTAAGCTCCGTGAGAGCAGGGACCAGGTCTGGTTTGTTCATGGGGGTTTCTCCAGTCTTAGAGAAACCTGGCAGGTTATCTGTAAACATGCGGTGAATGTGTAAGTCCCCCAGCTGCAGGAACAGCTTCATTCTCTGAGGCCTTTGGGTCCTCTTACAGGATAGTCCTTGTTTTCTGCCTTGTACACACGATACTTGATGTTCATGTTTTATTTTCCCTTTTAGCCTGTGAGCTCCTAATGAGCCGGTGTCTTCATGTTGTTATCTCTGTATCCTCCCACCATGCCAGTCCAGAGTAAGTAGTACTTAAAAAGTGTTTGGTAAATGAGTGAATTATGGTAACAATCCAGCTCTGACTCCTTTGCCTACAGGCTAGTCGAATTCTAGCTGACACTACCAGATTGAAAAAAGATGAATATTATTTAGAAGTGCATAAACTGTATAAGAAAAAAATGTCATTAATTAGACCTCCATAAAATTCAAATTTTGGTGATCTGGCCATATCTGAGCTGAAGTTTACCTGCTGTGTAAAGAATTTGCAAGAGCATCATGTAGAATATTTTTTTGGAAAGCCTTCATCTGCCCCAGGAGAGCAGGAAGGGAAGCTGGCAGCTGGATGAGAGGCCCCAAGGAGTAATTACTGAGTCAGTTCTTAGCTTTGGTTCCTATTGGAGAGGAAAGTGGTGGCAGTCCAAAGAAGGCAAAGAGAAACAACTTGTTCAGGCAGCAGCTCTTTGGCCTCCAGTAATAGTCCACCTCTCACTCAGAGCATTCTTAAAGTTACGCTGAAATGCTAACAGCCCGTTTGGATTAACATTAACAGCAAATCATGGCTTCACAGATTAATTAATTGCTGTACAAATAAATTTGGTTA